TTCACTGCCCTCAGCAGTATGTATGGTAACCATGGCGATCGATCGTTGCATTGTTTCCATTGTCACAGGGCATGTAACTGCCGTATGTTATTTGCTGATTTTCATTCGAGGTCAGGGATTACATGCACGAGATGTGTGTGTGTGCGTGCGAACATGTGTGTGAAATACGCTGGGGCAGAGGCAAGCTACAGAGACTTGACTGCACTGCATCTGCAGTCCTTGCGAACTCTTGGCTGCCACAATGCAAGAACGCCGTCATGATCCGTATCCCTGTGAGGTCAGAGGTCAGGGGATGCCGTAACTATTTTGAACGGGTTTTTCGGTCTATTGCTGTTTTTCCTAGTTTGAATGATAATTGTTCTTCGTGTCGATGGGTAGTATTTCTACGTGGAGTGTCTAAGTAATTTGATGCTGTTTTGTAGATAGCATTAGAGATGTATATGCAGTGCGGATAACGCATTTGGCCTTCTAATTAAATCGATGTACAATAGTGAATTAATCATTTCAGAATTTTATTAAACACGAAACTAAAAAATATTACAACGTTGGTCACACTTTTCACCACAACAACTACAGCGTTTTTCACAATATTTAATAATTTCTACACTTGCATTATATTATTTATGTTATTTTACATGGCAGCGTGTCTTGTCAGTGTAATTTTTCACAATACAGCACTCGTTCATAGGTGGAGCCACAGGCACATTCTCATACTGCACGAAAATATATTACCGTATAAGCTTTGAGCTCTAACTAAAAATTTATATATATATTTATATATTACATTCAACAAATCCACTGACACGCGTCTGCGAGTAAATCACTGTTCATTCGTTTTATATTTGTAATCGTGCAAAACAAATAATTAGGCGACACAAATTTACACGCAAAAATAAATACGCTACACTGAGGTTCAGATTTACAAACCTAAACAATATCTGCTCCTATCTTATCGAACAGTAGCTTTAGCCGCTATACACAGCACCTCCTATTACACGACATACCTAGACTCTACAATTCTAACTCCCGTCTAGTGCTGCAGTTTGTAACTACAGCAGTGAGTGAGTTCACCTGGTGACACGTGTTTATAAGATCTGGTCACATCTACGACGTCTCAGAATACACGGCAAGAGAGAAAACGTTCGAATCTATGTGCATTGGCGCGAGGTGTTATTGACATTTATACAAAGCTGTAAATATCTTGTTGCTGCTGCTGTTGCAGATGCTGCTGCTGCTGTTGCTACTACTGCTACTGCTACTGCTGCTGGTACTACTGCTACTGCTGCTGCTAGTGATGATGATGATGATGATGATGATGATAAGGTTAGCTCACAATCAGGCCTAAACAGTTTACTAGCATAATATTGTCGCCTCTCAAACAAACTAATATTGCAACGGATCCACCTTTAGCATTTCACAGATGTGTTCATCGTCTCTATGAAATGTAAGCTCATCGCAACGCAGTCGAACGGTCTGCCAGACCATAGCCCCCCCCCCC